GAAAGGGAGAGGTAGAATGGGGTAAATTATCTCACAAAAAAAAAACCAGAAAAGAAAAGGCTCTTACAGTGGAGAGGAAATGGGGGAAGGTGAGAGGGAATGAGTGAATCTTATTCTCATAGGATTTGACTTAAGGAGGGAATAACATACACACTCAATTGGATATGGAAATCTGTCTTACCCTACAGGAAAATAGGGGGGAAACGGAAGAAGACAGTAGGGTGATGATAGAGAGGAGGGCAAATTGGGAAAGGGGGTAATCAGAAGCAAATACTTCTGAGGAGGGTCAGGGTCAAAAGAAAGAATAGAATAAATGGGGGCGAGATAGGATTAAGGGAAATAGAGTTAGTTTTTCACAGCATATCTACTGTGGAAGTGTTTTGCATAACTGCACATGTATAACCTATATTGAGTTGCTTGCCTTTTCAATGACGGTGGGTGGGAAGGGAGGAAGGAAGAAAATTTGGAACCCAAAGTTTTAAAAACACATGTTTAAAAAAAAATGTTTTCAGGGGTAGCTAGGTGGCGCAGTGGATAGAGCACTGGCCCTGAAGTCAGGAGGACCTGAGTTCAAATCCAGCCTCAGACCAAACACTTGCACTTACTAGCTGTGTGACCCTGGGCAGGTCACTAAACTCCAATTGCCTTTTAAAAAAAATGTTTTCACACGCAACTGGGAAATAAGAAATACAGAAAATGGAGTACAAAAATCTATCCTGCTCTACAGAAAAATAGAAGGGGAAAGGAATAAGAGAAGGCGGGGAGAGATAGAAGGGAAGGCAGACTAAGGGAAGGGGTATTCAGAATGTATGCCATCTTGGGGTAGGGGTAGGGGTGCGATGGGGTGAAAATTTGGAACTCAAAATCTTGTGCAAATAAATGTTGAAAACTAAAAATAAATAAATTTATTAATGAAAATTAGAATTGGGCAAGTTACAAGAGACAAAGAAATAAAAAAAAAACAAAACATAAAGAATGAAAAAATAGAAGAGAATGTGAAACATCTTATAAGCAAAACAACTGATGAGAACAAATTAAGAAGAAAAAACATAAGAATAATTGAACTACCTGAAAGCTACAATCAAAAAAAAATAATCTTGATATAATAGCACAAGAAACAATTAAATTGTCCTGAAGTGTCAGAACAAGAGGGGAAAGTAGAAATAGAAAAAATCTACCCATCGCCACCTGAAAGAGGTCCTATGAGGAAAACCTACAGGAATATCGGAGCCAAATTCTGAAATGCCCAGCTTAAGAAGAAAATATTACGAGCAGCAAGAAAAAAATAATTCAAATATGGCAGAGCCATAGTTAGAATTACACAGGACCTAGCAATGGCTACACTAAAAGATCACAGGGCTTGGAACACTATATATAGAAGAGCAAAAGAACTGGGATTGCAGTTGAAAATATCACACTTGAAAATATCAAGTATAATTCAAGTATAATCTTGAATGAAAAAAAAAAAGGATATTCAGTGAATTGACAGACTTTCAAGATTTTATTGCAAAAAGACCAGAACTAAACAGAAAATTTGACATACAAGATCCAAGAGAAATATAAGGTAAACATTAAAAATTGATTACAAGGGACTCAATAAGGAAAAATTGTTCACTTTTTATATGAGGAAATATAAACTATATGTCTAAGATTGTCATTAGTAATTAGGTAGTTCAAAAGAAAGAATGAAGTAGAACTGAGTATGATATGATTCTAAAAAGCAAAAAGATGTAGGAAAAGGCAAAAAGAGTAATTATTTCATACAAATGAGGTTTGATAGGAAGAACTGATACAGAGGTATGAAATAGGGGAGGAGGGTGGGTAGTTCTGGAACCCTACTCTCATCATAAATGGGTTAAAGAGTAAATATATGTGTGTATATATAGATACAGATATATGTATGTATATGTATAATAGTCTTCTAAATTCAGAAAGAAATAAGAGGGCAAGGGGATAGGGATGGAGGAGAGGATAAGGATGGGATAGGGAATAGGATAGGTGGGATATAGAAGGGTGAGTAGATTAACAGAAATGGGATGAAGAGGGAACAACATATATATTTAGAAGTATATAAAAATTTTCTAAATTCAGAAATAAATAATAGAGTAAGGGGATAAAGCAGGGGGAGAGGATAAGGGAGGGATTCTTGGAAAGGGGGTAGGTTAAGGAATAAGAGGGCAAGGTAGTGGGTAGAAGTAAAGTAGAGGAGTGTGGAGGAATGGGAATAGGGGTGAGAAAAAGTGAGGAAAATAAGGAGGAAAATATACAACAAGTATTACAACGAAATATACAACAAATAATTACAACAAGTAATTATAGTTCAGAATGTGAACAGGATGAATTTATCCATAAAACAGAAACTGATAGCAGATTAAAAATTTGAATTCCGCAATATGTTGCTTTTAGGAAATGCTATAAAAAGGAGAGATACACACAAACATAAAGTGAAAGTTAGAAGAATAATTTATTACATAAAAAAGCAGGGATAGTAATCATGATTTCAGACAAAGTTAAAGCTAAAATCAGATTTAATCAAAAGAAAAAACTGGGAAACTACACCACATGTCAGCCATATTAATCAATAGTTTTAGACCATAGAAACATATCACTAGACACTATAAAGAATGAATGTTATGCCATTTGGTATATATATGTTTAGTATTGATACTGATATTGATGTTGATGTGTATGGGACCTTTTGGCAAAATGTAGTTTTCCTCATTATCTCTTAATTGGGTCTATTTTTTGCTTTTGCTTAGTCTGAGATCATGATTGTTGTCCCTATCTTTTTTACTTCAACCAAAATGTAATAGATTCGATTTCAGCCCCTTATTTAAACCTTGTGTATGTGTTTCTTTTTCAAATTTATTTCTTGTAAACTACATATTGTTGGATTCTGATTTCTAACTCATTCTGCTATCTTCTTCAATGTTATGGGTGAGGTCATCTCATTCACATTCACAGTTATGATTACTGCGTATTTCACTCTAACTTATCTTCTTTTGTTTGTCCTTATTTTTTTTAACCCTGGCCCTCTTCAAAAGTCTGTTTTGTTTCTGACCACTGCCTCATTTAACGTGCCCTTTTCCTTATCACCTCCACCCTCTGTTATTCTCTTCCCCTCCTACTTCCCTGCTGGGTAAGATAGATTTCTAAACCAACTAGGCTTGTAAATATTTTCTTCCTTCTTTGAACCAGTTTAGATGATAGTGAGGTTCAAGCATTGTTTACCCTCCCATTTTCTCATCCATTGTACAAGTTCTTCCTGGCAAACCTCTTTTATATGAGGTGATTTTCCCTTTTCTATCCCTCCCTTCCCCCTTCTCCCAGTGCATCCCTCTTTCTCCACCCCTTCATGTTTTTTTGGAAATCATACCAATACAATCAACTTACACTCATAACCTCTGAGTATGTAGACTGCCTTAACAATAATGTTCTTTAGAGTTACATATATCATCTTCCCATACATGAATATAAACAGTTTAATCTTAAAGGGACCATAAGTCCCTTATGGTTTCTCTTTCATATTTACCTTTTTATGTTTCACCTGGGTCTTGTGTTTGAATGTCAAATTTTATATTCCACTCCAGACTTTTCATCAGAAATGTTGTATTTCATTACATATCCACCCCTCCTCACCTCTTCCTGAAAGGATTACGCTGAGTTTTGCTACGTAGGTTACTCTTGGTTGCAATATTAGCTCCTTTGTCTTCTGAAATGTATTACAAGCCTTCTACTCCTTTAAGATAGTAGCTGCTAAATCTTGTGTGATTCTGATTGTGACTCTGTGGTATTTCCATAGATCTAGGGAGAAGCGTGGTCACTACTCTCCTGGTCTTCACCCTAGTCCTTAACTAGGTAGGGCCCCCTGCTTCCTTGCAGCCACAAGAACTTTTTCCTGCTCGTCAACTCTACCCTTCACAGCAACACTCTGTGATGTTATACATAGGATATCAGTCTCTGAAGAAATAAGCTTGCGGGACACCGAAAGTGCAATAGAGGGGTCATATGATAGCCGTGAGAGGCTACAACAAAATACCAAATAGGAACTTTTGCAAGAAAAGCAGCATATAAAATCACATCAGAAAAAAAAAATGACCAAAAAAGAAAGTGGGCCAGTCATTTATTCCAGAGTAGGGGACAATCAATAAAAAGTCTAAATGGTGCAATGCTATCCAAAGCATGTCAAGAGAACTAGGAAAAGTCCATCAGAACATTTGTTAGACCCCTTATAGGAGATTTATTGGAGGACACAGACAAAAATTTTTCAAGTAAGAAAGCATGAACAGATTGCAATATGCTTTGTGGAAGAAGTACTATTATCAGTGAGATTGCAGATACATTGAAATAAAAAACTATGTACTATTGGTCTTCCATTACTTAAATAGTTGAAATTCACATAGCTTTATGGTTTATAAAACACTTTCAAAATCTATTCTCTCTTATGAGGTGGGTGATAGCACACAGTATGATCTCATTTTTAGAGTGAAGAAACCAAGGTTCAGTAAACCTTGTCCAACGCCACAGAGCTATGAAATGGCAGAGTTGGAACTCACACACAGGTCCTCAGAATTCAAATCCAATACATTGGACTGCATTTACATCAATTAATATTTTTGCTTTTAAATACTTTATTATTCTAAATGTTACGCCATAAGTACATTAATCTCATGTCAGAAAAGCATCAGAAGAGAAAATCTACCTCTTGATGTGTCTCCACACACTTTTTTCCCAAGTACTTACTATTTTGCTATGTACACATGGTTCAAATGTCTGTTAAAGATAATGATATTTTAAATTTTCAAATTTCATGTTCTCAAAAAGGCAGAAATCTGAGGTGAGGGAATCCAAAGTAATAAAAAGGAAATGTTATCAATCCAGAAAATTTTAAAATTCAAATAATAAAAATATTTTCATGTGCAAAATGAGTTTTAATTAATGGATATACCCAAAAGGAATATGAACTAAGATATGAGGTGAAAGTAAAGTTAACCACCTACTTTTGTTTTAGGAGCAAAGTATATGTCTTCCCTTCTATTGTAATGACATAAGATACCTGTCATAAAAGCATACAGAAGTAAATGTGAACAATTTTAATCATAATTTTTTCAATTAGTAACATTATTATTACTCTTAAGAAAAAGTACAAAATAAATTTCCTAAATGAAAACCTGGAATTTTGTGATAAATATGTTGAATGTAATGGATGTGAACCTAGAATGATTGTTTTAATGTGTTAACAATAAGAAACAAATCCATCAATTCTAAATTATTTAGTATTAAAACTTATTATTGAAAGGTTTTTCAGCCCACATAGCACAGAGACAAATGCCACAGAATAAATACTTGGGTCAAAATTTTATGCCCACTCATTTACAATGACTTAAAAAAGAATATTCAATGAAGTCAAGAATTATTTTAATGACACTTTTTAATGCCTACATAGGGTCTCTAAAACTTGACTGAATAAAGCTATTTTTAACCTCTAATACCCTGTAGACTCCAATTTATCTGTACTATTTGGAAAATAAGGCATTTCATTTAATTAAATATTTGGGTTAACTAAACCTATAGGGATTATCAATTTTCCAAAGGATTAGAATAGAGTAAAATATAATTAAAACTATAAGAACATAATTTAGTCTCTGATGATTCATAAACCTAGAAAGATCAGGCTGAATACTAAGGCAAAATCTGTAAATTGGATTTTTAAAAATAAATGTCATTGACTTTTGTTTCATATCACTTATAGTTCTCATTAATATCCCTCCCCATATTCCATCCAACCCCAAGGGAGTCATCCCCTCTAATAAAGAATGAAAAAGGAAAAAAAACCTTTCTGAAACAACATATTAAAAAGTCTGACATTATAGGTAGTGTTCTATAGGCATAGTACCCTGACTCTTCAACAAAGCAAAGAGAAATGTTTTCACATATCTCTTCTTTGATCACTATAATTTTGGAATATTCAACTTTGACTGGCTGGGTGTGTTTGTTGTTTCTTTTTTCCATTTATGTTGCTAAAGTCATTTTGTATATTGTTTTCCTGTTCTGACTACCACATTCTGAATCAATTTGTTATTATGAATCATTCCATACTTTGTCATTAATGAGAACCTAAATTAGAGTGGTGAGTATGTAAAAGTGGAGAGGAGATGTATATAAAAGATCTTGTGGAGATACAAACAACAAGATTTGGCTACTGACTGAGTACATGGGATGAAATGTGAGGAATTGAGATCATCAGGGTGGCAAACCTGAATGCCTAGAAGGATGCTGATTCCTTCAACACTAAGAGGGAAAATAAAGAGTTGTAGGCTTAGACAGGACAATAATGATTTCTCTTTTTTGGATATGTTGAGTTTGAGATGCCTATGAGATATGCAATTTGAAATGTCTAACAAGTAGTTGGAGATGAGAGACTGCAACTCATAAGAGAAACTAGATCTGGATATATAGATCTGGCAGTCATCAAAAGAAATGATGCCCATGCATCCTAATGAAGTCACCAAGTGAGTGTGAAGACAGGACGGTCCAGGACAGAGATCTGAGATGGGATATGGAGCATTACAGGAAACCAAGCAAACTCAGCAAATATGTGCCTGTCCAGGAGGCCTGTGACCAGTGTGATGTACAAATCCTCCTGAGTACCGTTAAGGCCAAAACAGAAGATGCAATGAATTCCAAATTAATAACTGAACAAAGATAAGGAGACTAGCTGAAGCTGAAATCTCACTGGACAACAAGTAAATAGAGGCAGAAGCTAGGGACTTAGGCAAAGCATAGATCCCTAAACCTGCTACCTCCTCCAGATTGGCAATGGCAACAGCATCCAGACTGCAAGGGAAAGATTCAACCTAGTCACACTCAGCCTATTCAAGAGTACAAGAGGAGACTGACCAGTCCCAGCACAAAATCACAATCCAAGAACTGAGGCTGAAAATGAGTAAAATAAGAAATCTCTGAACAACATGCTAGCAATTCTTCCCCCCCTCCCAGATACATCTGAATCATCGAAGTTGATAAACATGCCTTCTATGGTTTCATCCCTGATAATGATTTTTTTTTTTAAATGTTGAACAGCACAGGGCTAAAGGCAGATCCCTGGAGACTTCCATTAGAGACTTTCCTCCAAGTCGAGACAGATTTATCAATTTTTTCATACTCAATCATTTGACCAATTCTGAATCAATATAACTACATTATCATCCTGCCTTTATCTCTTCATATTATCCAGTAACTAAGTTTGAGAGATCTTTGTCAAATATGTCTGAAATCTAAGTATAGGAGGTCTAAAACATTCACTCTGTCTTCCATTTATTTGTACTGTACAAAAAAAAAAGTTAGTCTAGAATGTCCTATTCTCAATGAAGCCATTTCTAGATTTCAGTGATTACTGCTTTCCTAAGTAATCCCAAACATTTCCTTAAATATTTCTCAATTGTTCAGAAACAAAAGTCACCCTCACTGATCTATAGTTTGCAGATTCCATAATCCTTTTTTCTTAAAAAAAAAAAGAAAAAAAAAAGGAGGGGGCAGCTAGGTGGCGCAGTGGATAGAGCACCAGCACTGGAGTCAGGAAGACCTGAGTTCAAATGTGACCTCAGACACTAGCTATGTGACCCTGGACAAGTCACTTAACACCATTGCCTAAAAAAGAAAAGGGGGGGGGAATATTTGCCCTTCTCCAATCCTGAGGCACCTATTCTGTTTACTAAAGGCCTTTACCAGTCACTAATAGTAATAAAGAGTCTCAGCAGTCACATTTACCAGTTGTTGTTTTAATGCTCTAAGGAACGTAGCATCAAGCTCTTGTAACTTGAACTCATTGAGGGCAACCAAATACACTCACTGATAACCATGTTCACTCTGTGTTTTCCATTACAAAGAACATTCTTCTTGGAAGAGGAAACACTCATCATATGCTCAATAATCACAGGACCCTAGAGGACAGAGGCCATGATAATAGTCCAACTCCTTAATCTTGTTGAAAAGGAACAGAGAATCAAGGAGATTGTGCTTTGCCCCTGGTCACATACGGTGAAAGAGTCAAGCTAGAAATCTGAACTGAGGTCCTCTGATTCTTCTCACTTTAAATCTAGGACTTTTCATGGTACCACAATTAATTGCTGCTTCTCCCATTCATAGCTGGTAAATTCCTACTTCTAGCTTCTTTCATTTCTATAATTTAGAGTCACACCTTCTTCCATTCCTTATTCTCTGATTCTCATACACCTCAGTCTTACCCTTCCAATGTCCCTACCCTGCTTGGGCCTTCCACAGTATCATCTGAAACTTCTACTCTATGATAAGCAGGCTTCATTTTCACCTATACCTCTTCATCTCTATTCTTCATATCTGTCTGTACTCACAGAAACCTAGTAACCTCCATAAAACACCACTTATTCTCCACAATGTAAATAGCTTACTCTCTCTTTATTGATAAAATGAGGTGATCAATCATAAGCGCGTTTATCTTCCTTATTCAGCACCTGTCAACCTCTTCACATGTCCTTGCTTCCTTTGTACAACTCTCCAGGAAAAGATACTCCTTCTCTTTGTCAACAGCAATGTCTCTGCTTGAATCCCAGCTCCCATTGCCCTCCCAACTCTTCTGGGAGCTTTACCACGATGATTATCCCTGCTCTTTTGTCTTCACTTTATCCCTATCTACTAGTTCTCTTCCCATTGCCTACAAACATATCCAGGTTTTCTATTCTAAAAGATTTGTCCTTGGCCCAGCCATCCCCCCAAAAAAACAAAATTATCTTCTATATCATCCCCTAAAAAGAAAAGCATAGTCTCACTTCCTCAAGCTCCTTATTGCATTATTTTTCAGGCTACCACTTTACTGAAACTACTTTCTTAACTGTTATATCCAAAGGCCTGATGTAAACCAAGAAGTTTACAGACAAAAGAAAGGTCCTACATATAGCAAAATATTCACAACAATATAGTAGACAGAGCACTGGACTGGGAGTCAGGAAGACCTCAAGTTGAATTCTGCCTTAAGCACTTACTACTTATGTGATCCTAAGCAAATCACTACATGTATATATTGGAGATACTGTAGGTTTGGTTCCAGATACCACAATAAAGCAAAAATTGCAATAAAGTGAGTCACATGAATTTTTCACTTTCCCAGTGCATCTAAAACTTATGTTTACATTATACTGCAGCCTCTCAAGTGTGCAATACCATTATGTCAAAAAAAGTGCACATACCTTAATTTAAAAATACTTTATTACTAAAAAGTAGTAATATCATGTGAGCCTTCAGCAAGTCCATCTTTTTGCTGGTGGAGGGTCTTGCCTCGATGCTGATGGCTGCTGACTGATCAGGGGGGTAGAGTGATGGGTGAGGTGGCTGTGGCAATTTCCTAAACTAAGACAACAGTGAAGTTTGCTGCATTGATAGACTCTTCCTTTCACTTGAACACTCAGAGGCCCTTGTAGGGTTGCTAATTGGCCTAATTTCAAGATTGTTGTGTCTCAGGCAGCAGGAAGGCCCAAGGACAGAGAGATGAGGGAACAGCTGGTCAGTCAGTGACGCAGTTAGAACACACACATTTATCGATCGAATTCACCGACTTATATTGTAATTATTTTAAATTACAATAGTAACATCAAAGATCACTGAATCACAGATCACCATAACATATATAATAATGAAAAAGTTTGAAATATTGCAAGAATTACCAAAATATGACAGAGGTACAGTGTGAGCACATGCTGTTAGAAAAATGGCACCAACTGACTTGCTCTATATAGGTTTGATACAAACCTTCAATTTGTAAAAAACACAGTTGCAAAGAGCAATAAAATAAGGTATGGCAGTCCTTTTCTAAGCCTCAGTTTCCTCATCTGTAAAAGCACCTACTTCACATGGTGGTTGGAAGAATAAAATGAGATTATATGTAAATTGCTTTGAAAACCTTAAAAACCAACATAAATGTTAACTTACATTTGTGATAACAAAGAGCTGAAAATGTTCCAATTATGGTCTTTAGTTAGGGAAAACCTCAACAAATTATAGCATATGAATGCAAGAAATAAG